GTTTTCGATCCTTTCAAATGGGCTCTCCTTCCCTCCCTTTCTCCTCTCTCCTCTCTCATCCTCAACAATCATACGTTCCCCAAGCAGTGCTTGCACTTAGGGGTCCTAGGAACTGGGCCTGTGCGTCGGTCTGGCGGTCTTCTTGCCGCCGTCGCCACCCCGTCGCCGCCTCGTCGCCGCCCGTCGTCTGGGCCTGTCTGTCGGTCGCTGCGCTTGTTGCCGCCGTCGTCGCTTCGTTGGCGCCCGTCGTCTGGGCCTGCCTGTCGGTCGCCGCGCTTGTTGCCGCTCTGTTGCCGCTTCGTCGCCGCCCGTCAGCTGGGTTTTTTGTCATTCGCCGCGCTTGCCGCCGCCGTTGCCGCTCCGTCGCCACCCCACATCGATTTCACAACATACGTATGCGCAGCATATAGGACACGCGCAGCGTCTTTTCCACATAGATCGCACAGCATATCTTGCACCACATTGACTGCACCACATGTACTGCGCCACGTAGACTGCGCCGCCAGTGTATGGCATAGCGCATGCTGCACAGCACATATATATATAGATATATATATGCGTATCTGTATAATTGTATATATGCATGCATGCATGCATGCACGTATGTACGTATGTATGCATGTATACATGTATGTATGTAATGCATGTATGTATGTATGTGTGTATGTATGTATGTATGCAGGTATGTATGTATGTATGTACGTACGTATGTATGTATGTAGGTATGTATGTATGCAGGTAGGTCAGTAGGTAGGTAGGTATATGTATACATGTATATGTATATAGTCGCCGCACTGGCTTAAGCACTCCCAGGTGACCGAAGACACCAACACTCGAGCTTGTCCCCTACCTCTGTGAAGCAGATGTGTAACTGATGAGCAGGAGCAGCGGCGGCTGGCGCCTGGTGCGTTTTGTTTCTTTCGATCCTCTGACACTGGCAGCTCCAGCCAGGTTGCAGGACATCACGTGTGAGTTCGTGAAGCATGACGTCATCCTGCTGCAGGGCACCCAGTTCAAGGCGGCACGCGGCAGAGAGGTGGAGCATCTTCATACGAGCGGTCAATTGTATTGGCACAGTGGCCACAGTTATGACAGCAACAAATCATGTGGTATTGCCGCCGGCCTCAACAGGCGCAAGTACCCGAACGACTTCGTCACCAGAGTTGAACACAGAACAGGTGAGCTTCAAGGGCGCCCTATCTGTCTCAGGTACCGACGTGGACGGCAAGATCTAGCGTTTCTGTCATTTTTCCACCGAGAGACACTGGACGAGGCGCTGTTGCCAGACAAAAGCGAATCTGCAAGCTCTTAGTGGATTGGATGCAGCACCGACTAAATGAGTTACCTACTCGATGCGTACCTCTCATTGGAATGGACCTAAACAGCACATGCGGGGAACGCATATCAGCACGTCCAGTCGCAGGAAATGAAGAGCTAGAGAGAGAGAGAGAGAGAGAGAGAGAGAGAGAGAGAGATGGCTCTAACTACCTTCTACTACGACGACACTACAGGCGCACCAACTGGCGCTGGTGAACACCTTCCATGCGGCTGGGCCCACATACTATGGAGTTCAGGACAGCGTTCAGAAGGGGATAGACTTCGTCGCCATGCCGTCCAGCATGCTCTTCAATGTGGACAACTGTCATGTGGCACGAGTCAAGGGGCGAAAGCTCCAACATATCCGTTGTGCTCGACCTAAAGATCATCTGCCAACATGTGTATCAGTATGGCACGCCTTTGAATGGAATCGACCCTTTCATTTGAAGAAAGCCAATCTGGTGGCCTGCAACGCGTCGCTCTTGTATGGATATCGTCGCACTGAACTTCTCGAAGCGGTAGAACATAACTTACAAGGGCACTTACCATGGTTTAGACAATGGGAATATGAAGGCAGCGCCGACTTACTTAATGGGGGATTGTGTCAATCCATCGGAGATGCAGCGGCGGAAAAATCCACCGGGCTATCAGGAGACCAAAGAGGATCGCATCACCACGAGCACGCGCATCTCTCAATCCTTCAACAGCGAGGCGAGGCAAAACTACGTGAGGCACAATTTCCGGAGGAGCTATCTCTTGAAGTGGTCCGACTTAGTCGAGCACTCAAACGAACAAATAGAAAGAGCTGATGCAACATCGGAATCTTCAGCATATCGAAGCACCGGCAGAAACTTGGCGAAATCGACGCTTCCACGAGGCATGCAAGTTCGCCGGGTTGATTGCGGGCACGTGTCGAGGGCCACGTGGTCGGGTGCATCATCATGTTGCCGCAGTTCGTGCGACTTGGTTGGGGTGGATAGAGAAGGTACATCAAAGAGGCATCGATGGAGGAGCAAAGGCGAGCATCAATAAATTTTCCAAACCACCTTTGCAAGCAGTGGGCTTTTGGAGGAGACCATGCGAGAGTACACAGGATCAAATCGTGGACGCGCACCAGCTTGCCGAAGTAGAGTGCCCTGAGATGGACTCTGAGAACTGGCCAGATCTCGCTCAACTCAGAAAGAACACGTATCACGACATCAAAGATTTGAGAAAAGCGGCAATGACACTTTCTTAGTGGCGAACCTGGCCTGACTGGAGCGCGCCGGGGGATTTTTTCTTGACCCCGAATGGTTGTGTCGACCTGAACAACGTGCTGGCGTTGGTGCGCAAGATCGGCCCGAGTGGAAGGTGCCATTGATCGAAGAGGCATCTCAGCTACTTATGAGTACCATCAGAAGAGAAGAGCGACTTCCAATTGTTTGGCGTTGAGCAAGTATGTTCAGACTCCGAGAAAATAACGGCAAGCGAGGAACAGGAGGAGAAAGACCGATCATGCTGCTGTGTGGACTTGGTCGTTCATATTCCAAGAGTATTCTGATTCGCAAACCGAAGCTTCCAATTTGGATGCGCGGGGGCATTTCTCACAGGAGACGTGAAGACGCCATGCTTGTGAAATTTTGTGGCTCATTCATATTGCGACGAGCTGGGATTCCGCATGTTGCCAGATATCATGGCGCGACGAAAGCGTTTTACAGTGTGAAGAAGCACCACCAAGAAGCAGTTGGCAAAGAGATAACATAGCAGGGCATGGAACAGTTTATCGAGCAGAGGATCATGGACAGCACGTTCATCGTCAAGGCTGGACTATGCAGCGCGCGCGTGCACAGTGAAGAACGAGCTTCGCCGGGCGACCGTGCATCGACCGACGTATTTGTGATTGCGCATGGACACGGAGTGCAGTTGGCTTCTGCCATATTAGCGCGAGACGAGTGGGAGAGACTCTTGGAAGTCACCTCGATGCCGATTGGGCTCGGGGACGAGCGCGTCGACTGAGCCGCCAGTGGATTCGTCGACGACATCGGCAGAACAGCTATCGGAGCCAATTCTCATCATGTTGACAAGCTGTGCACATGAGGGAATCTCTCCATTGATGCGGGACTCGAGGAAAATGAGGGGGCACAGAACAGGGGCAAGCAATGCAACTTCGTCCAGGGTGCAAATCGCGATGCTCAGGATACCAACAGAGTTTTTCATGTGCATCCAGAACTTCTAGAAGGCAATGCTAAAGCTTGTGCGAAATATCTCGGAGGTCTACATCATTTTAACAATGGGTTCGCGGCGGAGAAATCGGCAAGGTTAACGGCTGTTGACAAGGCGTGGAAGACAATGGGGCATCATGACCTCGTCTACTCCTCTCAGGTTTCGGGCCATTGTCTTCGTCGGTCAGGTCGTCGACGCGGCCGTCGGGGGGCCTGGGGCTTATGTGATGAACGTGAAGACCCCGCTCAGCAGGCGATGCCTGGAACCTCTACAATCTAAAGTAATCGAATACGCCAAAGTACTTCTGGACGGCAGGTTCATAGAGCGCACGCACGGTCGAGTAGTTAAAGCAGTTTCTGATGCGGAGGTTTTCCGAAAGCTGAAAGTAGGTAGTCTGTTTTGTGAACTTTGAATTCGCAGAATTCAGTGGCTCTGATCCATGATCAGGCACCCCGGAGAGCGCGCGCTCAGGTCCTCGGAGCCCTCCTTGGCCAAGTCAGATGCGAGTGTGAGCTAAAGGACTGCGTTGGAGGTGTTGTCCAGGCTGACGCCGATCCGTGGCTTAGGCAATTTTGGGAGGACGCCCAGGCGCTGGGGGGCGCTGATGAAGGAACCGCCCTCTTCGAGGGCCTCGAGGGGTCTTTCTGCAATCTTTTTGAGGGGCCCCACCGGGGGGATTTTTTGAACCTCGATCCGTCTGTGCTCAGAGCTAAGGAGCTCTCCGTTGAGGTGCCCCCCCTCCTGGGCTTGGTGGGTCGGGCGTCGCCGGTGGGGGTGGGGCTTCGGGGGCTTGTGAGAATCCAGAAGGGGCAGGCGCCCTTCGCTGTCCTGCGCGTGAGCTGGTCTTTTCCTCATGCCAAGCCATGGTCATGCGTTATGTAAGGTCTCAGGCGGAGGGTCGTGGAGCTAGGGGTGTTCCGTGTGCTGCCGCGCTTTCCTATTCTTGTTTGATCTGCAAGAGTGCATTCGCGAACGGGGAAGCTGCTC